CAAACACGCCAGATGGCGCCCGCGAGCGAGTCCTCAGTGAATGGGGAGAAAGGAGCTAAACGGCAAAAAACAAAAAGTTAAAATAGTTTCTAATCACTTGCCCAGAACTTTCCACTGATGTTAGAAAGTAGAAGGATGTGTTTCACTAAACAGAGCAAAGAAAACATCCCTATATGTTCCCTTTTTCCTACAGCAAACAGATTTTGGGCAGCAGGGCGCTAACATTACTGCTACTGAGTGCGTATTGGTTGGCGAGCGGGGCAGCTCGTTGGCTGTTCGCGCTTACTGACGTCATGGGTGTACATGAGGCGCCCTTTAAAACTCTTATAACTCAACTTTAAAAGTGCTCCAAAATATAACAGCAGCGTTGAAATGTTTTATGCTGTTCAGTGTTCAGGATATGAATGTATTCTTTTACATTAAAAATGTTTAAGCATTTATAAACTATGATTTTACTTAAATGCTCTATTTTAACCCATTCGTTTTGGACTCGCTTGGGAGCGCCTTCTAGCGTTTACGAACCCTGGCAGACATTACAGAGCCGTAATTCTCCTCTCTACAAATTAGCTGTGTCCCAATTCAGGGGCTGCGTCCTTCAGAGGCTGCATTTGAAGGCTGATCGCGTCATAGCGACGCAACTATGCTGTCCCATTTCAAAGGCTCCTTCATACGCGGCCGAGAAATCTGTCCTTCTTTTCCACGGCAATGGGTGGATCCTTCGCCAGCCAACATTTCAAGGTTCATTGCGTGCAAGGATTCGAGAATATGGCAGCATCAGCAGAGGAGTGAAGGGCGGCTGAGGAGACACTTTTAAATATAAGTATTGGGTTTAAACTGAGGAGAATAGCTAACGAAACAAATGTAAAAAAAAAAAAACAATCTCATCAGTAGCCAGAGGTGAAGCTTCTCCAGCTCTAATAAATGAAGAAAAAAAAGTTTCTGGCTTCATCTTTAAAGAACATTAAAAGAACTTAACAGGAGTGGTGTTTCGTGCCTTTGCGGGTCTAAGCAGCCTTCGAAGGACATGCCTTCATCGACCGCGTCCTTCCAAGGATCCAGCCCCTGAGATGGGACACACTGATTCTCTAACTGAGCAGCATAGTACGCGCTTTATCTCCAGCACTGTGAAACTGTATGCTCCTTTTTTGGTTCCTAGCTAACTGTTCCTACTAGAGATAGAATAATGGTGGCGGTCAATACAACTCAGAAAATAACATTTCAATGGATTATAGTACAATTATGTTCCCTAACTGAAGGTACTGAGATGTACCCTTGAGGGTACCACCCCACTGACAGTTTACTACCTTTTTTTCTGAGAGTGTACATTATTAAAAAGTACTCAAAAGTGGCTTCAAGAAGGCTAATATTACTTTATTATTTATGTTATGTGGCATACTTCGGTCCATTTCTTATTGACAGCAGTATGTTAGCAGGGTATAAGCAAGTCTATTTTAGATTACCTAACAACTCAGTATGGTTTGACTCAAGCATGTGATGATTTAGGCTTGCAGTTGCTTGATTTCCATTACTTGTTAGCTACATTAACAAATGTCAGATACCAGCCTGTCCACATTTGAGCTAAGGGAAAGATTGTGGAGATGTCTTTTCTCACAAAAAAAATCGCTTTTAGAGACACGTAGTGCCGGCGATTCGTCACCGAGAGCCATCTGTGAGATTAGAGCCGGTTTGTGGCCCCCGCTAAGGTCGCACCATTTGTTTAGCGCTCTTCTCTCGGCCCAGGCCCGGGCTCGAAGCCCAAGGCTTTCAGCTTCTCTCTGCCTCCATATGCTCTCTCTACCACTCTCCTCTGCGCTCACTGCAGACCAGCTGGGCCGGGGTTAACCAGCTCCCGCCGCGGGTGAGATGCCCATTCAGGCTTCATTACTAACACGAGTGTGTGGCCATTTTGCAGCACATAGCGTGAAAGCGCAGAACTCGAGACTCCAGACAGACCCACTACAGTAGGCTGACGTCTGTAACTGTCAGGATCTACTGCTGTACCTTGTTTTTTCTTTTAGGGGCATCTCCATGGAAACAAATGGTCATAGCAGGGGCCTGCATGAGTACTTAGAGCTCAAAATAAAGGAAAGTATATGTATTCATATTGAAGCTTCACCTGTGGAGGCTTCCTGCAAAGCGAGAGTTATTTGTGTGTGACGAATACAAAGAATGTTGAACGTTGCAATAAATAGCTTCTGCCTTTGAAGTCTGACGGCTGAACTGAATCATTCTTCCTTCCGGAGCCTGGGTTTGGGTGTTAAGTGTTATTTCTTATTAAGGCTTAGACTTGGGCTTTAATAGCAATAGGTAAATATACATAAGTTCTGCACCTTTTATACATTAAAGTGCTTTACAGTGAAAGAGCAAATAAAACAAGTGTATGAAAACAACAGGAAATAATTAGGGCTGCACCGATTATGACTTCTGTGGGCCGATGCCGATATCCGATATTTTTTCCATCTACCAAGGCCGATACATAAACATTTCTAAAATGTGGAATTGTGTCTAAATCGAAACGTTCTGCTCTTCCTGTACAGTAATCAGCCAAATCTAAAATCTGTTCGATATTTTAAAGCAAATATTTGCCGATATTTAATTCTGATTTCATTGCACATGCCTAAAAATAATGAAAGAAGAAAAAAAACACTGAACACGAAAGGAAATAAAAATATATAATTTGAATTATTCTGACTAAACCAAGGAATTTAAATCTGCAAATCAATAAAATATCATCGCTGTCTAAAGAAAACAATGTATCTCCATTTTTGTCAATTTTTCTTTTTTTATACATAATTTCAACACACCAGCTGTTCTTTATGTTCTGTAAAAATTTCATGATGAATGGACCAATAGAAAAGCTCTAAAATCAATTGGAATAAAATCTCTTTACATTGACCTACATTGAAAGGTCAGAGTGTTTTTGCCTTTTCCTGTAAAGTTACTATTTTAAAGATACTCATGTTTCTTTGGACAGCAACGATATACAAAATAGATATATACAAAATACTTAAAGTACCCCCAAAAGTGACATTTAAGCCACAAAAAATTGATGATGCTAACTATTTTATATATTTTCATGCTAGACAAACTAATAACATGGCATAGGAGCCACTTTACACCTTAGTCAGATTTACAAAATAAGTACAACAGCCCCTTAAAGCCTACGTATATGTAATATATTTTATGTATAATGTTATAATGAAGCACCTTATCTGATTTAAGACAGTAAACACTGGAAAGAGGGGAAAGTTCAGCAACCTTGCTTTTTTCTCATAACATTCAATTTAGAGTGAGCCTCTGAAAAACCTCCATTTGGAGGGCCATGCAGCCCTAACACTTCGCCCTACCCCTCTATCTCAACAAAAATCAGGACACCCTACCCCTAGATGTGAACATGCAAATCAGAGGGGTAAGGGCTAAGTGGTAGGGGTAAGGGGGAAAATGGGATTGGGCCTTAGTCCTGAGAATATAAGTAATTATTTCCACTTAATGAGTCACAGTTTGAAACTTGAATGGATGACTAAAAACGTATCTTTGGGAAACAGGTTTCATCAAAAATCATGTGAGCCAAACACATGGCTATATTGCGCTGGTCATATGTTTATTGCGAAGTTTTGTCTGTGTTCACTTGCATGAAATTTCTTAGTAGCTAACCTGCTAAATTGACCGCCCCCACCAGCGCAAAGGGTTGGTGTACTTTTGCTAATTAGAGCCTTGATTAGTAAATCTGCCCCTTAACCTCATGCAGGTTGCAAAGATCTATGAATATAACTGATTAGGCAAATTGGAAACATCTCATGTCCTCCCACCATGCCTCCCACCCCTTCCCTCTTCTCGTCATCTACCTTGGTTACTGTGTTATTACTTATTACAAAATGGCAAAAGGCAAGACTGAAAAAAATCAGAATATGTGTGAAGCTCAGACTAATTACTGAAAAAGAATGGACTATGTTATGTTACTATGTTTTTAATGAAAATATGAAACTGGCACTATGGTAACAAAAACCCAAATACCAATTTAAAAGGACATTTAAATAACAAATGCTATTTTTATTTGTATATTTATGCTGAAAATATATCAAATGATAAAACCTAGAACAGGGGTCAGCAACCAAAATGTTAAGAAGAGCCATTTTGTCCTTTCGACAAAAATCAAACCACCTTTTATGTCCATTTTATTGAACGTTTGACCATCTTGGCTGTAAATATGCCTCAGTATGTGCTAAATATAATATAAATATAAAAATATAATAAACGCTGACTTACTTTGCTCTGCTTTAAGCTTTTACTCAGCTTTAGCCACTTTTTTCGCATCTCCAGCAGGAAACTTTTACAAAAGTAGAAGAGTTTCTTGTAAAATGTCTCTCAACATTCGACTTTTTATGAGACTTGAGTCAGCTTCTCATTCACCAGCTTCTCATTCTAATTTTCCCATTCCACCTTAAGTTGCACTTTGACGCCTGAGGCACCATTTAAGGTGGAATGGGAAAATTCAAACTAGGCGCTGGGAAAGAGAAGCGACTTCAGCCTCATGCCTTTTTAGCGTTTGACAGTTTCTCTGTGCAGATTAAACGTATCAGGAAACCAGCTGAAGTGCTTACAAACGCAAATACGTTTATTAATCTCTAAATTATCAATCTTTTTCTTTATCTATTAGCTAGGCGAGAGTGTTGTTGTGCTGCTATGGTGACCAGCAGTCTGCGCGCCAACCTTCAGGGTTAAAGGATGAATTAACTACAGCATTTAAGACCATTTATTGTTAAACTGTGCTGAACGATCAGCAGAGCTTTATTTTACTGAAAAGGAGGATTATTTTATTTTTACCTAAAAATCTAATTCTGCTGAGGAGCCGCAACAGGGCAGTAAAAGAGCCGCATGTGGCTCCGGAGCGGCATGTTGCCGACCCCTGACCTAGATAAAAAAAATAAAAAATGACTGACTGAGGAGGCTTGTTGTATGTCTTACGGAGGAAGTCCAAATTTTTTTGAACGTAAACTTACGTGGCGCAGGGTGGGACGCTGTCTCCTAAAGGCTCGCAGGGCTGGCTGTCCTCCAGCTGGGGGCACTCCGCTCCTCCGCCCACAGGAAGCTGCTGGACCTGTCTGGTGCGGATCCGGGTGCCCATCGGAACACTGGGGTCTGCACATGTTTTCGAGCATGGACCCCACTGTCCCCACTCATTGACCACGCAGTCCTTGCGCATCAGGCAGGACTGGTGCATGTCCGGGAGGCTCCAATGGGGGCACTGGCTGAAAAACAGTATGAGTGTGATCAGTATATTATCACTGTCTTATCAAAACCAGGTCTTCATTAGAGTCATGAGGTGGTTTGATTTGAAAAATGCTAATTCCATGAAAAAAGACTACATTGGGCAGCCATTTTAGACAACTGTTTGCCAAATTCTGCCTCCCCCACTGATAGATAGATCAAACAAAGTACAGTAAAGAGCAAAACAAGAGCAAAAGTATTGCCGCACACTATCATACAGATGCATAAATGGAATTAGAAGAAAGATACATAATAAAATATACTAAAATAAACATAAAATATAATGTGCAGTACAATAAAATTGCATAAATATTATGCAGGTGACAATGCAGTGGTGCATGTCAGGTCCAGTGGATGAACCGAGTGACTAAACACTGTATATAATAACACGTTAATAGTTGTGCAGTATGCGTGGGTGTATAAACAAGTGGCAGTGCAATATACAATATGTATAGGTGTAAGTACATCATACCATCTAAACCACATCAACAAATCTGTGAGACCTCAATGAAGACCTGGATGCGGTTTAAGCAGGTTAAGAGGAGTTTTTGTGGATGTATTCACAGAAATGATTTGGGTGACTATTGACTTTTAGTGTGTTAGCATGAAAAAATATGGAAGACTTAGTGGTGTTATTCTGGCTAAGAAGAGGCAAAGTGTCATATGCAAAGTACTACGTGCACGTAAAAAACTCATTTAAAAGTTTTTATCTCATATTTTCAGTATAAGCTCAAGCTAAAAACTATTTTTTGTCATTTTTACGCACATCTTTAAAAAGGATGACAACAATTCTGAAGGGCAGAAAATACATATTTTTCATAACAACATATCTCTTCAATGTCTAATACCACACTATCACATTACAAGCAGCCTCCTGCCAAAAACGTACATACTGACATAAGTAGCTAATCAGCCTTGCTTGAAAAAACTGCCAATAATCATTACGGGGGCTTTTAAAGACCTTCTAATGACTGGTAAATTGATGTTTGATGTTGAAACGTGTGGGAAAAAAAAGATTTTTTTTTCTTTGTTTCCTAAGGCGAAGCTGCCGACAGGCTATTAGAGTTAATTACAGGCTGTGTCTCTTCCATTAGAGCTTCATTTAGCAACACTCCCATTAGCCAATGCTACAACGCTGCCTTTATTTTTGTTCCCCGCCTGTTTTCTGGCAAGTCCCGCATGCAGCACTGGGATTGGCTGGTAGTAGAGGCAAGATGCAACCTCAATCATCCTGTAGATGGTGAGATACTATTAGCCAATCCTAGCACAGGAAACAAGGCAGTATTAGCCAGTCATAGTGCAGGAGAAGATACTATTACCAATCACAATGCAGGAGGCATGATACTATTAACCAATCACAGTGCAGGAGGCATCATACTATTAACCATAGTGCAGGAGACATGATACCTACCAGCAGGGATAAACAATTATAAATATTTACAGCTCTTTCCAATTCTGATGTCTTTAAAGCCAAATTGAACAGACGTATGGATGTTCATGTGCCTCAAATGAAGTGTTCAGAGAAACATACATTTTCAAAGAAAGCATGTCTTCTAAAAGGGGAATTACACAGATTTTTCAAACTTTCTGAATAATTTAGTCCTTGGGATGTTAACAGAGTCATTCAGAGTGGTTTGATGTAATTGTCATTGTAGAAAAACATACAGACTCAGATTTCTTTATTTTTAGTTTTAAAAATAGACAGAATTCCCTTTAAAGAGCGAAAATGGACAAATTCACGAGTCGTGCGTCCCTGCTGAAAAAATAACTTGGTCCCTCGTGATTTTGTTATGTGTTGTGGCTTTTTCGATGGGTTGACATCACAATGTAAAAGATTCTGATGGTTTAACAGGTGACCAATGGCTGATTCTAAATGCATTTGTTGGTTTCCTAATGGGATCTAAAAGTGCTGTACTGGAAACAAACTAGTAGTTTCAATTGAAAACTGTTTAGAAAGCAAAACATTAGCTTTTAATCCTAATGATCCTGTTTCAGCAGGGATCCCTAACTACCAGCCAATCAAACAGCAGGCACGATTCTACCAGCCAGTCATTTCACAGAAGGTACGATACCATCAGCCAGTCACAGCATAGACCAGATGTTGGCAACCAAAATGTTAAGAAGAGCCATTTTGTCCTTTCAACAAAAATCAAACCACCTTTGGAGCCACAATATTTTATGTCCGTTTTACCATCTTGGCTGTAAATATGTGTTAATGTGCTAGTAAAAAATATAATACAAACGAAAACGCAGACTTACTTTGTTCTGCTTTAAGCTTTAGCTCAGCTGTAGCAGCTTTTCCCGCATCTCCGGCAGGAAACTTTTTCTCAGAAGTAATTAAGTTTCTTGTAAAATGTCTCTCAACATTCAACTTTTTATGAGGCTGAATTCAGCTTCTCATTCGCCAACTTCTTGTTCGAATGTTCCAGTTGCACCTTAAATGGTGCCTGAGGTGCCAGAATGCAACCACTGTACCATTTAAGGTGGAACGGGAAAATTCAAGAGTCAAATTTATTGGTAAAACTGTGTTGAACGATCAGCAGAGTCTTATTTTACTGCAAAGGAGGATTATTTTATTTTTACCTACAAATACTAATTCTGCTGTGGAGCCACAACAGGGCAGTAAAAGAGCCACATGGAGCTGCCTGTTGCCGACCCCTGGCATAGGAAATGGGATACTACTAATTGCAGCACAGGAGAGATACCACTAACCTATCGTAGCATATTCCACCAGCCAATCACAACGAGTTATTCCACCAGCATTCGCTTCCATAAAGAAGCCAAAATTATATGACAGTTTTGGCCACAGACATAAGAGAGCTAAATGACCCTGCTGATCTAATTTCACACAAACGAGTGTTAAGAAAGGCCTTCTTTTTGAGGGCTTAATGTAGCTCCGGTGCACATTGTTGTTTTCCTGAAGCCATGCTATTTTTCCGGCTGCTGACAGAATGAGGACAAATGCAGTCATTTTCATTCAAATGAGAGTGATTGTGCTGTTAACATCAGCACACCCAAGTTGTGGGAATCCAGATTTCCTCCGTGCAGCAGGAGCTTGGTGGAAAAGCTTTCAATTACATAATAAAATGTAGGAGGGGATGAAATATGAAATTCTGAAGCAAAAAACATTGTCATGTGGGCCCACTAAGAGCCTTTGCATGTCGTACTATTATGTGTAATGATTCAAACTGGTTAACATGCTGCGAATGACAAGAAGAATAGATGTTTGGCTGTTAGATGCCTTTAAGATATCCATCTAAAAAACTAAAACGGAGCTAAATCGATACCAAGACTTGAAAAAAAATCTTTCAGGGCAGATACAGTCACGCACATCAAACGAAATGGAAGGAGAACGTTTCGGAGGACTATTGGCAAGAGTCACAGAGCAATTGCTTCAGAGGAAAGTTTGTTCCACTTTTCAGAAGTGGCAAAACAAGTATGAATATTTCAGAGGCAGAAATAAACAAGTCAAAGATTAATATTTATGCTTCTGGGAGCATGTGAGTTGTTTTGGTGGTTCTTTTGAAATATCATAGCCCTACCACTGCAGAAGTTGGCATCAGCAAAGAATTAATGAATGGATTTTGTACACAGCTGATACGGTCTATGATATGAAGCACTCATGTAAGCTAAAGATGGATTTGTCCCTTAATGATCTGTGATTTGTGACTTGGTTCATTTTTTGCATTTTTTCCAAACTCCTTTTCCCTTAACCCAGAGGTCGAAAACCCAATTGTTAAGAAGAGCCATTTTGTCCTTTCAACAAAAATGAAACCCCCTTGGGAGCCACAACATTTTATGTCCATTTTACCATCTTGGCTGTGAATATGACTCAGTATGTGCTAATTTACTAGCGCGGACTACAAAATATAATATACACAAAAACACAGACGTACTTTGCTCTGCTTTAAGCTTTAGCTCAGCTATAGCCACTTTTCTCACATCTCCGACAGGAAACCTTTCCTCAAAGTGGAACAGTTTCTTGTAAAATGTCTCTTAACATTCAACTTTTTACGAGGCTAAAGTCGCTTCTCATTCTCCAGCTTCTTGTTCGAATTTTCTTGTTCCACCTTAAATGGTGCCTGAGGCTCCAGAATGTAACTGCTGCACCATTTAAGGTGGAACGGGAAAATTCGAACAAGAAACTGGCTTCATCTTCGCAACTTTTTAGTATTTGACAGTTTTTTGTTTCAGATTAAACGTATCAGGAAACCGGCTAGAGTGATTGTAAATGCAAATAAGTCCGTTCATCTCCACATTATCAATGTTTGTCTTACGTCTTTCTCTTTGCCTTTTCGTTAGCTACTAGTTTGGCCAGATTGTAGTCAGCGTTGCTATGGTGACCAACAGTCTGCCTTCAGGGTTAAAGGTGGGTGAATTAGCAGTTATACATTAACTTCAGTGTTTGAGACCATTTATTGTTAAAACTGTGTTAGAATGAACAGCAGAGCTTTATTTTACTGTAAAGGAGGATTATTTTATTTTTACCTAAAAGTCTAATTCTGCTGTGGAGCCGCAACAGGGCAGTAAAAAAGCCGCATGTGGCTCTGGAGCCGCATGTTGCCGACCTCTGCCTTAACCCAAATGTGGATGATCAGCCAAGTAAAACTGGTGTCTAAGGTTTGTCTCAATAGTTTAGCACAGGAGCTAGAATATTAAGAAAGGCCCTTCAGATGAGCCCATGCTAACTGTATAGCTGACGTTGTAGCTAGCAGCATAATGAAGTTAATGGGAAGATAAGTTAGGGCTGGGCAATATGACAACATATATCATCACAATACAATATCCTTTTCTGAACATATTGTGGATGCATATTTCTTTACAAAGAGAGCAAAATTAGTCCTGTCTAACTGGATTTAGTGAAAGTTTTTTTTAAATACAGCACTACTATTTCTTTTTTCTCTGTTCCAACTGATCAGATGTCTGAAAAACAAATATTGTGACATATCGTGCATTGTGCAAATTTTTGAAAGTATCACAA